TAGCTGGGATTACAGGCACGTGCCACCATGCCCAGCTAATTTTTTGTAGTTTTAGTAGAGACGGGGTTTCACCATGTTGACCAGGATGGTCTCGCTCTCTTGACCTCGTGATCCACCCGCCTCGGCCTCCCAAAGTGCTGGGATTACAGGCTTGAGCCACCGTGCCCGGCCTAGCGCTTTTTCATACATACTTTTTTACATTAATACTTTGCCCACTAGGCCTCTTGTAAAAGAAGCCAAAACAGTTTGAATGGCTTTTATGTCAAAGGGAGACAATGTAGGGCTGTAAGGCCCCACAGGGTCGTGGGGTGTCTCTTATGCTGTGCTGAGGTGCAGGATCCGAGAAGTAAAGAGGCCACTGAGCTCAAGTAATCTGCCCACCTCAGCCTCCCCAAGTGCTGAGATTACAGGCGTGAGCCACCATGCCCAGCCAACTGGTGAAGAGCAGCTGTACTTGGGGCGGGGGGGGGGGCACATAATCAATGAGCGGAGATCAGCAAGAGCCCCAGATACCCAGAAGCATCTGTATTTATTAGGTACAAGCAGGGGGCAGGGTCGTAAGTGAGGTCATCATCTATAGGCTTAGTAATAGGGCATATATAATGTGAGTCACAAGTGAGGGGGCCACCCCATTATGTCACCTGGGCAGAGAGGTGGGCTGTGTGCAGTAGGGGGCCATGCCGTGCGCAGTAGTAGAGGGTCGTGTACAGAAAAGAGGTCTATCCCCATTAGGTCACCGAGGCAAGGAGGTGGGCTGTGTGCAACAGGTGTCGTGCGCAACACTTCTTATCTAGGGGCTGGAGACTTAAAAGGATTTCTAATAGAAGGATACTGTAAGCCAATGCAGTAGGAGCTGACAGACTTGTGCTCTTCTCTTAAGATATTTATGGGAGGATGATTTGAGTTAGCACAGAAGCAAGAAAAGACTGACAGGGAGTACAGCTGCTGTGACTGGTCACACCAGAGGGGTTCTTCTCCCTCGGTTATTTCCAGGATCTCAGGCCTCAGGCCTACTTTCCACAGGAACTGGATGCAAGGTACTACAACTCCTTTATCAGGAGGAGAGGCTCTTGCTCCAAGCCTGCCATACAGCATATGACATTTCAGGCAGGGACACTACCACCTGGGTCTTCGGTTCTTGTCATGGCCTGGCTGTTTTCCTATTTACTGCTTCTGTTCTGTGACTGCTCTAGGCATTCCTCCTTCTACAAACTACTATATGGTTATATGGAAGGATTATATAAATCATCACCAAATGTGTCAGTACAGCTCTGACTACAATACCTATATGATTATATAGAAAGAGTATATAGAACTAAGTATGCTAGATGTAAGTATTAAGTATGATTATATAAGCTAGATATATGTAAGCAGTAAGTTATACTTTAGGTACTAATTCTATAAACTAATATGTGATTATATATAAAGGATTACATAAAGGAAATAGCTGAGTAATAACACTATAAGATATTCTTCAGGCACTAATTGTGCTTGGGGTCTGGTTCTCCTTCTCCAGTGCCCATGGGGAGGCGTTACCCACAGACTAACCCTGGGACAATATGGACCTCTAGCCCCTAAGTCCAAATGGGTACAAAGGGGTCTTGGGAGATGTGGAACGACCCTGAGCAGCAGCCACACATCCTTAGCAAAGGTAGCACAGGAGACCAGCAGGGAGGCTGGTGG